AATGGTAAGTTTTTTATTTAGAATGTTTGTGATAATGTAAGAAAAGTATTTTAAATGTTTTGCCACTTGTTTGAGCAACTGTTTTGTGCTGTGTTGTAAGCTGTTGTGCAACAATTGCACGAGTGTAAAAACAAAAATGCACTGCATGATCGAACATTTAGGTGAGATAAATATATATTTTTGAAAATGTCTAAAAAATGCTCCCCTCCACCCCTTAAATAATAAAAAAAAAAATTCCCTCTCACAAGAGTCACCTATAAGAGGGAAATTCCCCCCATTTTCAAAAATGAAATCCAGGCCCTGAATAAATGTCTAAAATTTCTGATTGAAGTATTACTATAAATAATTCTACAAAATAAGGCTTTAAAAAGATCGGTATCGGTGATCTTATCGGCAGCTACTGCTTTTTGTGATCGGTGATCGGCCTCAAAAATCCTGATCGGAGCACCCCTAATAGTCAGCTCTAGCATACTGTGAATTGAGTACAGTGACACCCACCCCCTTAAAACCACAAAAATACAGTGTATCTACATTCATTCAGTTGATTTGTTTGGGTAATCTTTGTGCTTTCCAATAGGATATCTCTTTGTCGCATGTTGTTTGTTTTATGTCATTGCTCTGTGAGAGGGATTCTTGTGCTACACAGATCCAATCAGTCATCTCTGTCCTGTCTCTGTATAAAATGCATTCGGCCCAGACAGGTAACCAGTCAAAGAGTGTTATCCATCCCTTTGTCTGACCCAGCTCGCATGGCACTGCCGCGCTTCCCATTTGACAGAGACGATTTATAATGTCACGCCGACACCCATGAAGTATGAGCCACCTCGCACTGTAACGGCATCATTCTGTTCTCCTCCACTTGAGGAGTGTGAAATTCATTAGCTGAATGGTTATAAAGAGATTAGGAATGTGACGTAATGGATATCAATTATGATTTATTCAGTCTGGTTGCTTGAGAGAGCTGCAGCTGGATCTCTTGAATATGAAGAGGCGTGCAAGAGTGTGTGTTTGTATGCAGTGTTTGTATTTGTGTGTCTTTGTAGAAGCAGTTCATTCATATAAAAGAGTCTCAGAGAGCAGCGCTACTTCCTGTCTTTTAGTGGCTTATTACTGATGTCATACAAAATTGGTTTTATATTTCACTAGACAAGTGTGGTTGTCTGATAGGTCTGTAATTTTATTTTTTTTGTCATAGCAGATATTATTAGTTGTATTTTTGGCTCACTTGCAGAGCCAGTAAACGTGGTATTATATATTGCACGTTTGTTAAGTACTGTATATGAGAAACCCAAAACATATGCTGTTTTGGGTTAAACACCATAATTTGACAAAACAGCATATGTAACAACTAAAAACAGAATTATCACTCATAGTAATTACCAACAAAGATTATTTATAGTCTTTATAAGCACTTTAGTATAAACTAGTTCTAATATATACTATATATATATATATATATATATATATATTAAGCAAAATTTACTTTTAAGGGCCGCTTATTTTAATGCAGTGTATGAGTCTTTTATGTGGAGGCATCTCAAGACTCTCAAAGAGCAGCGCTTCAAATTATTACTGATGTCATAAAATTGGTTTAACATAAATTAGTCTTTTTTTGTTGAGATGTGTAATTGTCTGGCTAGTAGGTAGTTTTGCATTGTTTTTATATTTACTGTTGTGTCATAGCACATATTTTTAGTTGTGTTTTTATGGCTTTATAGCTAAGTGGAATAAAGTAGCTATGAACCTACAGCTCTCATTCATTCATCATGTTTATCTGTCAGGACCTGAGATAAAAAACTGCTCATGTTACAGCCAGGTAGATTTTTCCTCCTCTATTGTATAGCGTCTCCTCCTTTATTTTTCTCTCATTCCCACATACACACATACACACTCGCACTGCTGTTTTCTCATTCTCTCATTCTGTAGGTAGCTGTACTTGTGATAGACTCCTGATAGACCCTGTGTGTGCGTGTGTGTGTGTGTGTGTGTATTAGAGAACTGTGAGGTTTCTGCCTTTCTGTCTGGTTTTAATGTGCATTTAATGCCTAGGCTGCATGCAGCTCAACATCTGACGGATTCCTAAAATCACAAGTAGTATTCTGTATTCTTTCAAGAGTCAGTGGAGCGAATGCACTAAGCAGTTGTGATATTCATAAGTGGTATTTCCATGCAAAAACCTGTTTCTTTTTCACTAACCACCTGCAGTCCAGTTTAACCAGGCATTAAGATAGCGGTGTGGGAATTTCAATTAAATCATTGTTCTTTTCAGCATAAACATGCCAAATTTTATGCAAATCAAGCTTATTTTCACTGCATTCACAGATGTAAGCACTGTTTACTTGCTACATTTAATGTCATACCGAAAGTAGCCGTTTAACAAAATAGTTCTAAAGAGATTTTTATATCCAATCAAGTTCTTTAACTTAAGCTAAATGTGTATGCTACAAATGAGCGTTTCTGAGTAAACTCTAGCCAGATTTTTCATATTTAACATTTGACATAAACATAATTTTCAGCCTTGTATTTACACACTACTGTTCAAAATTTTAGGTTGGTAAAATTTGATATATTTTTGACAGTGTCTTATGGCCACCAAGGCTGCATTTATTTGATCAAAAGTACAGTAAAACAGTAATGCAATTTAAAAATAACTGTTTTCTATTTTGAAATATTTTAAAACGTAATTCATTCCTGTGATGGCAAAGCAGAATTTTCAACATCATAACTCCAGTTTTCAGTGTCACTTGATCTTTCAGAAATCATTCTAATATGCTGATTTGACCCCAAAGAGTAGTGTATGTTTATTGTACTATTCAATTTGCATTTCATGTTTATTGCGTTGTATATAATACGATGCAAATGTGGCAAAGTGACTAGATTCAATATATGCTGTTTTTGAACAGTGATCTTTTATATGAACATTTCTTTAGAGTATATGAGAAACACAAAACACATGCTGTTTCGTGTTAAACACTATAATTTAACAAAATAGCGTATGTAACACTTTACAGAACTATAAACAGAACTATCACCCATATTAATTACCAACAATTCTTTATAAACCATGCATTATTATTTACTTAAAGCAAGTTTTGAAGAATATATTTAAAAAAAAAATCAATTAAGCAAGATATACTTAGCAAAATTAACCACTTTTTTCTTCTTCTAATCTCTCCTGGTCTCTTTCTGTGTCTGTGTGGTGGAGGCTTTGAGTGTCTTTCTCTGAATGGCGTTGTAATTACTCATCATTGCTATGGATACTGCGATAACTGTCATAATTACCAGCCTTTTCATAAAGCTAAAATGTCAATTATGGCCACGACCAAGCCTCCTCCAAGCCCTCACTCTCATTTTCTGTCTCTCACGCTTTCTTTTCTCTCCAATAAAGGAGCGTTTTCTCCCAAGAGGAATGTGTTCTTGTGCTAAATATTTATGTGGTAAATACTTGAGGAGATGAATTTCGAGAGACCTAAACCCACATGAAGACCCATTAACCCTCTCTGAATGTGATGAAATGATTGCATAATTGAGAATATGATAATTAATCTCTGTCAAAGCCGAGCAGTCATGAGATATGAAACATCACAGTGCCAGCCGGCATCAGCTTTACATTAGAGAGGCTTGCCTTCCCTGCACCTCAATTTATTTCAGATTGTTATTTTCAAATCAATTTGTCTGTGTTTTGGTGGATTTAAGCTGTTCAAGTATTCCATCCAACATTTTAATAATATGAATGAAGAGGGGTGAAAAGTTTCCAAAAACTGATTCGGGAAAGTTCCAGATATATTAATTGCACATTAATTTTGGCTGAGAAATTACCTCTGAATGATCATTTTAATTTTCATTCTAAGTCATTATTGTCTTAGATGAGAAAATAAGTGAACAGACATCACAAAAGTAGCTTTAGAAAGAAATATTTTGATTCAGCATTGCATAAATAATAATAATTATAATGACCAAACTAAAACAACCAGTAGGTGGCAGCAAGTCACTGTCTTAATGAGTGAGTCATTCAGTCATTCATTCAGCCGATTTGTTTAAATGACTCACGATTCATTCAGAAATGAAGCAAATGACTGCCTTTATGAATGGGTCACAGAATCACCTGCTCGCTTAATTCGTTTACAACCATGGATTCATTCAGTAACAAAACACTGTTTTAATTAGTTATTTTTCCATAGTTAATTGCACCAAATTAACACATTAAATTGACAGCCCTAATATAAATATATTATAATATTTAAATGAATATAATTAGAATATTATGATGTATTTATGATGTATTGATGTATTATGATTATTTAAAATGTATATATAAATTAAATCGCAACATTCTCTCTCACATAGGACACAGAGATCCTGAACACAGCAATTCTGACTGGACGGCACGTTGCCATCCCGGTCAAGGTTGTTACCGTGGAACAGGATGGAACGGTGAGAGAGGTTGATGACCCCGTGACATGCATCTCCACAGATGAGGACGTTCTCAAGGTGAGAGCTTACCTGCTTTATCTCATGGTACCTTCTTCATCCTCTGCCCCCCGCTCTCCATCAGAAGTATAGACAGGTGTGGGGCCTTGCATTGTCGCTAGATTTCATCAAAAAGTAAAAGCAACAGGTTCTAGGGTGACTCAGGGAAGCCCAGAGTGGAGGCAGATGAGCAGACAAGAAAAACTGCGGGTGCCTGCGAAAGCTGTTTTTTCCCCACAAAGCATTTCTTTTTAGTGGGTTTGAGTTGCAAAGACATTTGGAAGTATTCATGCTCAGAAATGCACACACACACAATAAAGACATTTCTAGACTGAATAATGGTCTGGAAGACAAACGCGAGATGTGTCATATGAAATGACTGAGCTGATGCAAATTAAGACATGAAAGGTAGCAGAACCGAAGAAAGAATGATGGAACTATAAAGATGAAAAATTCTGATGTAACAGGAAGAAACATCTTCAAATATGAACAAACCAACCACGTCAAACCTGCTTGATTATTTATTCAAGTATTGTTCAACTTGTGCAGTATTTACACACAAATATGTTTACATGCACACTGGTCATTGTACTTCATTTGTGATGTATTTGATCTTCCTGCTTTTGTGTTCACCTTGTGTTCTAAGGTGACATTTACATAAGATTAAGCATACAAAACAGCTAGTTGGAGTGGGATTTTGTTTTTCTTTTGTTTTTTTTAAAGAAAATGTTGCTTCTCTGAGAGGAGTTTTTTGTTCAGACTGTCTGACAGCTGAAACTAATTACTTAGTGCATATATACACGCATATGCATGTACTGTGTGTGTATGTATATATATATATATATAGAACTATAAAGATGAAAAATTCTGATGTAACAGGAAGAAACATCTTCTAATATGAACAAACCAACCACGTCAAACCTGCTTGATTATTTATTCAAGTATTGTTCAACTTATTAGTATTTACACACAAATATGTTTACATGCACACTGGTCATTGTACTTCATTTGTGATGTATTTGATCTTCCTGCTTTTGTGTTCACCTTGTGTTCTAAGGTGACATTTACATAAGATTAAGCATACAAAACAGCTAGATGGAGTGGGATTTTGTTTTTCTTTTGTTTTTTTTAAAGAAAATGTTGCTTCTCTGAGAGGAGTTTTTTGTTCAGACTGTCTGACAGCTGAAACTAATTACTTAGTGCATATATACACGCATATGCATGTACTGTGTGTGTATGTATATATATATATATATAAATGGCTGGACTTACCATTGGGCTTGAGTGGGCTGCTGCCCATGGGCCCCGCCTTTTCCCGTTTACGTTTGTTTGATTTGTTCGTTAAATGCCAGTCAGAATTCAGAAATTATTAGCCGCATTTCCACTGCACACGCAAGATCTAAACGGGCCAGCCGGGGCTACAGCTTACAACTACAACCTTTGAGGCCACAATCAAACAGCATATACTGGTATTTATGATTATTTCACATAGAAGAAGGACACACATATTGAATCGCGTCTGCACCGATTGGTTTGTTATCACATGGCTACTTTAAACAGCTCCATTAAGCCTTTAAGAGCGCACATTTAGAAAGATAATGATAAATTCTCAAATGTTCACACCTCATTTCTTTACAGAGGATGATTCTATATTACTATATTAATGTTCCACTAAATTATGCGATCATCTGATGCATTTTGAGCGCTCTCTGTTGTCTCACTGCCATTATACATAGTGGGCAAGGAATGTCATTAAAATGATTTTAAATAAAAAATAGCAATTTAATGAGTTTCTGTTTTTATAACATAGCTATGCCCAGGGCTGTACGTTAACTTTTTTTTCACATAGCACTGGTGCTACAGAGGTTGAAAATTTTGTAGCACAGGCCAAAAAGTTGTAGCACAAGTAAGTAACGTCTGTTATCATGTCTGAAAACAAACACAAGTAATGGAGTTCATCACTTAAACAGGCACTGATGTTCCATACAGAGCACAAAAAATACAAAAAATTGTTTTTAGACAAAGTTTTCTTAATTTGCTAAAAATGGAAGA